ATATTCAAGGAAATACTCCTTGAAATCAAACATGAACAACAAGCCGTCCAAGATTTGGTCACCTACTGCCAAGAACAATATCAAGGCAATAAGAATGAAACCAACATTATCAAAGAATTTCAACGTAATTATAAAGCATCCAATGCCCTATGGTGGTATACAAGACAGTGTTTTACATACAAAATGTTGAATGGTGCATTAAGAACACTGAACGGCGACATTATGATACGAATGGGTTTTTTCCTGTGTGATGTACATCGTCAAATCGAAACCTTGTACAAAAATCAGGTCAGTCAATACCATAACAAGATTTTTACAATCTTTCGAGGGCAAGGCCTATCGAAAGCAGATTTTGAAAAGCTTGCAGAAAACAAAGGCGGGCTTATTTCTTTTAACAACTTTTTATCTACCAGCACAAATTCAGATGTCTCAATCGATTTCGCCAAAGAAGCCTTGAAAATGACGGATATGGTTGGAATTCTATTCCAAATAACCATTGATCCTACAGTATCATCAACTCCATTCGCCTCCATTCAGGAGGTGAGCTATTATAAGGAAGAAGAGGAAATTCTCTTCTCCATGCACACCGTCTTTCGCATTGGTGAAGTACGAAAAATTGACAACAATCATGCACTTTATCAAGTCGATCTTAAACTTACGTCAGATGATGATCCACAACTTCGAGAATTAACTGACTTTATACGAAAAGAGGTCAGCGGTACCGGATGGCGTCGAATGGGTAAATTGTTACTACAAATAGGCCAATTCGACAAGGCCGAAGCACTATATATGGCACTATTGGAACAGGCATCGGATGATAGTGATAGAGCATACATCCATCACCAGCTTGGAGTGATGAAATATAGCCAAGGACAATACGAAGAAGCAGTTGCATTTTACGAACAATCTCTGCAATTCTACCGAAAAACTCTTCCGAAAGATGATCCTTCATTAGCTACTATATACAATAATATTGCTCTAGTGTATAACGATATGGGTGACTACTCGAAAGCACTTGAATTTTACGAAAAATCACATCAAATCAAAGAAAAAGCTCTGCCTTCGAATCATTCTGATTTGGCTACTTCATACAGCAAGGATGTGGGTGTGGGAACCTATTTTTGGAACTCAAAGAGAATCTCATCTAGTCCTTTTTATACTGTTTTGCACATTCTGCTAATGCTTAGAAAACTTCAATGGCTACCTATAGCTTGTCTTCTCATGGCTGTTAGTTGATGGACGCAACGGAGTTGTGTGAAACATTTATCAGTTACTAAAATAACAAAATCTTGCAGAAAACCTATTGGGAGTCTTCATGGTTCGCACGAGCTATCATTTATTTAGAGAATCGGGATCGACATCTGAACCGTTTGTACTTAGGGTATACCAAAAGTTCTGATCACAGTTTTTAAAATTTAATAAAGCAATAAATATTGAATATTTTACTAAGGCAATATATAGTATAACGTCTCGTCTTTAATAATATATAGCAGAGTTGTAACCGGCCCGGCGAAACCGGCCCGGACCGGCCGGTCCGGTCCGGTGCCGGGCCGGGCCGGGCCGGTTTGAACAGCTAGACCGGCCGGTTTTTACCGGTTTTTGCTGGTTTGAAAAAGTTGTGTTATTATTAATTTTTTAATAAGATAATATTATTTATTTCTGTTCGTTACAATTTTTGAAACGAAAAGAGCAAAAGTTTTGTTTTTCGATGTA